CAGCGGCTCATGCGGCCACTCGTCCAGCCTTTTGCGGCGCCGATCCGCCGAGCTGGCCCCCCTGGCGGTTGCTTCGCCTTCCTTGCAGACAACCCCTTCTCCTGAGAGAGGAACAGGAGGAACTCGTGCGCCATTCGATGCGGCGCCAGGTCGGCATGAGGCGCGTTCGCGCACAGCTCTGGTACTGACCTCCCGAGGGTCTCCGCTGCTGCGAACTCTTCGTCGCCCGCCAGCCGCGTCATCTGCGGGTCCTCTGCCGCCCGGGGCAACTTCCAGAACCGCCCAACCAGGCATCGCCACGCAATGCAAAACAATGTACATCAATGCAAGACAATGCGAAGCAGCGCGGTGCACTGCAACGCAATGCGACGCAACGCAGTTCGGTGCAACACACTGCAGCGCAGTGCAAAGCAGTGAGATAGCAATACAACACAACGCAAAACATTGCCAATCAATGCAAACATATGCGATGCAACACAACGCACATCAATACAACATACTACGATGTAGCGCAATGCAATGCAATGCAGTGCACAGCAACGCAACACAATGCACATCGTCGCAACGCAAGGCAATATCAGTGCGACCACAGTGCGATAGCAATGGGACAGTAATGTAAAGCAATGCAGAGCAGTGCAACGCACGGCGTAGCAGCGCAACTCGGAGCAGCTCATTGCAAAGCGGTGCAACACGATTCGATTGCAACGCCGTGCGGTTCTGACGCAACGGCGCGACGCAGTGCGACGCAGCGCAGCGCAATGCAGAGCAATGTTTAGCAAGGCGCACCGATGCCAAGGAATGCGAAGCAGTGCAAAACAAGAACAATGCGAACCAGTGCAAAGCGGGCGGCGACGAGGCGGGCGGCGACGAGATGGCGACGATGCGGCCGCGCGGCCACCGCGGCCCGCAGCCCCGGGCGACGAGGCGGCCACGTGGCGGCCAGAGCAGCCCGCGGGCTCGGGCGGCGGGCGGCGACGGGCGGTGACGAGGCGGCGACGGCGGCCGCATGGCGGCCAGAGAGCCCCGCAGCCCCAGTTTCACGGTAAGGGAATCAGATCCCCCAGGTGCAAGCACGGTTCGGGGAGGTGTTCAGAACAGAACCATCTCGGCCGTTCCCCCTTGTCGCGTTGCTTGTTTCAGGATTCGATCTGGATATCATTGGGATGCGCTCCTCGTTCCTCGCATCCTGTGCCATATCGGCATTTGCAGTATGCCGGCGGCTCGGACCGACTTGACTGCTTAATTTGTTGGAGGGGCGCGCTCTCCAAGAATTCGGGGTGCACCTTTGCCAGAGAACTGGGTGGGAATGCCTCGCGGCGAGCGATGGCATCGCCCGCCATGTGGGCGCCAGTGCAGACCCTCTTCCACCACCCACCACCTCCTCCTAAACTGTGCTCCGTCCTCCCCTTGCACCCCTCGTCCAGCTGCCCGGCTTCCTTTCCATTAGCTTGCCTCTCCTCCATTTGCCTCCTCGTCCTCCTTCCTCCTCCACCATCTTGCTCGACATCATCCCAGCTTGTTTCCTCCTCTGCCACATGTGCACACGATTGTCATCTGGCGAGCGTGTTCGCCACATCGCTTGGGAGTACTCGCGGCAACGCTGTAGAGTGGCATAGCTGTAGAGTCGTGTGGTTGGTCGACACATGCGGGGGCAATTGCAAAGGACATGAACAAGCTCTCATGCAGAAAAATGTTGCTCAGATCTCTGACACAAGAATCGACTGTCATGCGGCATGCCTGTGGGCGCGAGTGCGTAGAGTGTGGGCGCGAGTGCAAGGTGCGAGTGCGGGTGTAGCATGCGGGGGGTGAGTGTGGGGCGAGTGTGTGCGTCGAGTGTGGGGGTGAGTGTGGTGCGTTTCTCATCTCCCACCTAGTACTGCCCCCCCCCAGATATACACAAGCCGTGCCCAACGGGAGCGACAACTTGCGCTCTCTCCGAGCACTGCGCACTCGACCCAGAGGCGTACGCAGCACCGACACCCACGCAGTCACTGGACGTACATAGCACGCGACACTCCGGCGGCAGACCCCCCCCCCAGGCATCATCACCAGATAGTTCAGGTAGGAAAAACACAGACACAATTAATCGTCGAGTCCCAGATGAATATGGGCAAAGATGGGAAGTAGGGGGGGAGCCGAAAAATAAAAAAATATTGGAAACTATAGGGAATCCTGAGATTCGTGTCTATTCATTGGTGTGTCCCTGGGCCCTGGAATAGTGAAGAGTGTCTTCTATCGTTTTGCACATGCGGGAGACAATACCCTGGCATCGCCCGGATGTGCGCATTTTTCTTCGGCGAGCACCATCGAGGAGCATCCCGGATCATGGAGCAACAGAAATAAACACGCACCGAGCCGAAGCATGCACGGGGAGTGGACCTCAGAGCCGTGGCAAGTCTGCGTGTTTGTTGGATGTTCTCGCGCATCCTGGGGGGGATCGCCTTGGAGGTTCCGTGCGTGTAGGCCGGCGCAGGGTCTCCTGCTCCTGAGGGATGTTTTTCCGTCATGGGTCCGACCGTCGCGGGAGACCAGGAGCCACCGATTCCGGAATCGAACGGGCCCACATTTCGTCCCTAGAAAGATATACATACGCACAGACCCCGTACAGAAAAGCCGTCTTGGAGAGCGATGATGTTGCAGCACCTGTTTGCGTTGGACATGCGACGGCGATCACAATATGGATAGCATGGTCGAAGGCGCCTCTGGCGAGTCATCATTGTCCCCTGTGGCTGAGAAGCGGGTTGTTGGGCTGGTTAGTCGGCATTTTGGCGCCTCAGGGGTCTCCCTCTTGGGCCGTCTTGGCGCCTTTGTGGTGGCCTCTTTGGGGCAGTCTTGAGAGTCCCTTGGGCCCTCTTCGGAGCCTCTGGGGCGCTCGTGGGCCGTCTTGGGGCCCTCTGGGGCTGTCTTGGGGGCCTCTGGGTCATCTCGGCTGGCCCTTGGTGTCGTCTTAGGGCTCTCTTGGGCAGTCTTGGGGCTCTCCCTTTTGGGCCGTCTGGGATCTCTCCTGGGCCGCCGGGGGGCCGTCCTCGGCCGTCTTACGGGCCGCCTCTGGGGGGGGGGAGGAGGAGGAGGAGGAGGAGGAGGAGGAGGAGGAGGAGGAGGAGGAGGAGGAGGAGGAGGAGGAGGAGGAGGAGGAGGGGGAGTGGGCCCTTCTTGGACCAGCTCGTGGGTTATTTTGGTTTCCGTGACCCTCTTGGAGCCCTTTTGGGCCTACAATCATGGGCTCCCACAGATCGAAGAAGAGCAGCACCGTAAAAACAAACTTTTGGCGCTTCGCGCAGGTTTCTTGGATCCGCGCCGGGCTCCCCCAGCGGCGCTTTCGGCGCCGCTCTTGGCGCGCTCCGCGCGCCAGGGAGGGGGTCCAGCGCAGATCCATGAAATCTGCGCGGAGCGCCGCAAGTTTACGTTTATGGTTTCTCTTTTTCTACAAACCAACATGTGAAACGTGCAATACCAATAGCACGTGTTTCAGTTGTCTTTGCCATATGAGCGTCCTCTGGGGGCCCTCAAAGGGCATCGGATACCATATTGGAGGCCCCATGAGGCGCTTCGAGGTGCGTCGTCGACGGCTATCGCGTATTGCGCCATATTGGCATCTGGAGTCATTTTGGACCATATTGGCGCCATCCGGGGGAGAGTTGGACGGCTCTTGAGCCATCTGGGTTGCGTGTGTCAAGCGATATGGGCGATGAAAGCCGGTATAGCGGCGAATTAGGCGCAACGGTTTGTAGAGAGGTCTGCAGAGCCAACGCGAAGCTTGATGTCTGGTCTAACGCGACTAGCAGTTCTTTTTTTACACGGGGGCGGCGAATCCAGTGGCTTTCGGCACATCCTCTGTGTTGCGGGTGGCGGGCGAGATGGGAACAGTCGAAGCCAACAAAGAATTCTAAGTTCGAAGCCTCGTAGATCCTCGGAGCTGCGATCTACAGCAGGAATATGGCGGTTTCCTGTCGTGTGGGCCACTTCGGGACTTGCTCGGCATACCTTGGGCTTGTTGGGCGTGCCCTGGGCTGTCTTGGGGCTCTTTGGGGGGCCCTCGGGGGCCGTTTCGGGTCTGATGGGGGGCCTGTTGGAAGCTTGCGGGAGTCCGAGGCCAGCTCAGGGGCGGAGGAGAGGGCGGATGATGTTCCTGGGGTCCGTTCCTGGTTCCCCTTTGCGGTTCTCTCTTTGGGTCTTCTTGCCATTGAGGGTAGAAGAACCCCTAGCCCTAATAACAGATTGAAGGCGTGGCCTCACTTAGGTCCCAGTCCTTGCAGTAGGGATAATATATGGGGGCGGTTTGGTGCGGTACTCCTGCAGAAAAAAAAAACTCCTGTCCCCAATGTTTCTGGCACTCCCAGCTTAGGTTCCCTTACGACGGGTTCGGTGCTTTTTCTGTCTATCATCTTGAGGGCCTTGTGTGGGCTTCCTCGGCTCTCTTGGGCGCCTCTGGGGCGGCTTGGGCGTTCGCGAGGCCGAGAGGGGCCGAGAGCTGGAAGAGTGCGCAGGCGGTCTCTCTGCTCTGGGAAGATCTGGGCGGCGGGCCCCGAGGAGCGCCTCAAGCCCAGAGGCGGGTCTCCTCTGGCCATCTCGGGGTGACCGTCGGAGGCGGGAGTGTCCTGACGATGTGTTTCCTCCCTCTTGCACGCCGGACAATGCACGGTTCGGCTGCCCCAAATAGCCACACGCTGGAGCGGACTGCGTCTGCCTCGCCGACGACGACGAAAAGAGTTTCCTGATTATGCTGTTGGTGTTCAGAACAACTCATGCGGCAAACCCCGAGGACCCAGCAGAGGCCGCAGGAGTCCCATGGGAGGGGGGGGCGCGTCCCTGAGTAACGTGTTTTGAGTTTGTAGTATTTTGAAAGTGGGCGGTCATCTAGGACCTGGGGGCATTCCACTACCACGGTGGCGGGCCCTGCCAAGTTTAGCACAAAGCTTCGGAGAATTGCGAACGGCATGGGCAAGGAGCACACATTGTTTTGATGATCGGTGGCAAGGTGAACTCCATGCCTTTTGCATTAATGTGCCAGGGGTGGCGGAGGGGCCGACCAGCCAACAGGGCGACGGGTTGGACAAAGGGCAGCAAGCTCAGCCGTTTACGTCGGCAGGGCACTGACGGGTCCATGCTGTAGACGAGCATCGGCCCAGTGCGATGCCACCGTGTTTGTACATGTGGAGTCCGCGCCTGGCTGCTGCGCCCGCCGGCTGCTCATCGTCGAAGTCTGCGGCGTCTGAGCGTCCCTCCTTCCCCTCGGCCTCCCCCTCCCTCCTTGCACGCCGGCCAATTCCCTAGTTCGTGCCCCATACCTAGCTGTTACGCTGGTGCGGATTTCGCCGCCTCGCCGCCGACGAAAAAGTTTATACATGTGAAGCCCGTGTGGTTTGTGAACCTTCGGTGCAGCCACCTCACGGATGGGACAGAGTTCGGCCGGCACGGCGAACATTCGCAGTTAGGCCAAGATTGGTGAGCATAGACTCGCAGCAACAATCAGATTTGACTTTGGGGGTGGCTTTGACGATCTCTCAGTGCACAGCATCAGGTTGTCAGTCGCGGTGGAATCGATGTACCAATTGGCCTCTTCACGTTGATCGTGGTGGTGTCGTGGTGACAGTTTTCGCCGCCGAGCAACTCAAGTTCGTTCCTTGTTTTAGTAGCGCGGGGTTCGGTCGTGCGGTGGTCTTTTTCCGGATTCGAATCACACCTCCAGCGATCGATGACGGGTACCGGGCCCGGGCCTCAATGACGCGTCGGGCCTCTCCTTGGCTTCCGCCCCCTCCCCATGCGCTGCCTCCTCCTCCTCCCCCTCCCCTCCTCCTCTAACGACTCCGACCCCTCCCACTCGCGCCTCCCTCCCCGTCCTCCCTGTTCCCCCCCCGGGCAGCACAGCCGTCTGCCCGGGACCAGCATGGCGGCGTGCAGGGCTTCAGCCGACGGCAGACTCATTGCTACACCATTCTCGGGGACGGCCAAGAGAGGGGTGATGATTATGGGGGGGTTATCATGGCGGGGGCCATGATGTTTCCACAGATTTCATTGCGCCTCTTCTTACTTCAATGCGTCCCCGGCCACCCTCCCCGGACTGCTCACATGCCGACGGCCATGATTTGCGCCCCCCCTTCTTGGACGCCCCCCCTCTTGGCCGCCCCCGACAATCCCAGCTCTTCAGATTTTCGGAATTCGTGTTGCAGGGGGCGGGCCGCCCTTAGATCCCGCCGCCGCCGCTGGCGCTGCCGTCCTCCCCTCCGTCCCTTGCCGCCCCCGCCACCCTTTCCTCTCGCGCCGCTCTGCTGTTGCGCGCGGACTGTGAACTGGCGGGCCGCGCGGGCTCGCGAACAAAAAGGGGGCCGGGCGCGTGTGCGCGCAGCCCCACGGACTTCTCTTTTCTTGTGAAGGGCTTGCGGTCGGTGCCGCCAAACGTGAAGGAGGGACGACGGCGACGACGGCGACGGCGACGACGACGGCGACGACGACGACGACGGCGACGGCGACGGCGACGGCGACGGCGACGACGACGACGACGACGACGACGACGACGACGACGACGACGACGACGACGACGACGACGACGACGACGGCGGCGACGACGACGACGGCGACGGCGACGACGACGACGACGACGACGACGACGACGACGACGACGACACCGACGGTGGCGGTGGCGGCGGCCGCCCTGCCGCCTCTTCTTTGTTCCACGGCACCCGCTCACCGCACACCTCGGGGAGCGCCGAGGGTGTCAACGCCAGGGGGGATCGCCACCCAGGGTGGGTGCATCGCCAACTCCATCCTCCGCCTCCGCCTCCGTCCTTCCCTCCCTCCCTCCTCCTCCCCCCTCCTCCCTCCTGCGCCCCCCCCCTCCTCCCCTTCCCTCCTCCTCCCCCCTCCTGCCTGGGGGCACAGTGTCGATGATGGGGGGGGGCATCGGGATCGGGGGCGCTTGCCTGGCGTTGCGGCTCGGACGGTGCTGGGGCTGAGGGTCCTGGGTGGTCGTCCTTGCCCTTCGCCTCGGGGAGGAGGCGGCGCCCCCCCCGCCCTGGTGGTGACCCCTTGTGGCATCGCCTGGGTACGGTGACGACGACGACGACGACGACGACGACGACGACGAGGACGACGAGGACGACGACGACGACGACGACGACGAGGACGACGAGGACGACGACGACGAAGACGACGACGACGACGACGAGGACCACGACGACGACGACGACGACGACGACGACGACGACGACGACGACAGCGGCGGCGGCGGCTCGTCCCCAGACGTCCAGCGTCGTGTAAGAGTCGCGGCGACTGGATTTTCTGCCCCCTGGGGTTCTGGGGGAGTCCGTCTCGGGCATTGGGTCCGTCAGACAGCGACCCTGGGCGGGAAGCCGGTCCTCAGGATGAGAGGTCGGAGGGTCGACGGCACGAGAGAGTGACCTTTCGCCGGGGTGACCTTTGGTGCGGGCCCATTGGGCCCTCCTCCTCCTCCTCCTCCTCCTCCTCCTCCTCCTCCTCCTCCTCCTATTCCTCCTTCTCCTCCTCCTCCTCCTCCTCCCTCTTCTCTTCTCCTCCTCCTCCCTCCTCCTACTCCTACTCCTCCTCCTCCCGATCGCCGAAGCGCGATGTGCGATAGTTGCGTCCTGCGCGCTCGGGTTTCGACCCCCCCCCCCTCCCTCCCCCCCCCGCCGCGGCTCCCCCCAAACCGCGCACCAAAGGGTCCGGCTTGCCCAGGGCCGCTCGTTGCGTGCAGCCGAGGCGGCGGAGGGGTGGCCTGCGTGGAGGGCCAGGCCGTTCTTCATGCCCACCGAGCAGGCCCAGCGGCAGAGGAGAGCAGCGGTCGAGGAGGGGGAGGGAGGGGGGCGGGGCCTGCGCACGGGCCGCCCGGAACAGCGGGGGCCCGGTCACACGGCGGGGTTTGGCCAGCAGGTCGGTCGCGTCGTGTGCGCTTCCTCGCATGCTGCTCCCGTCGCTCTCAAGGGCCACATCCCGAAACCAATTTCGAGCACCCAGAAGGTATCGAAGCAGTGTCGAGCGAGTATCGCCTCGCGGGGCCCCACACGCGACAACCCTCCAGTTTCGATACTTTCTTTGTGCTTGAAGTTCTTTCTGGTGGTCAAGGCCAGAGTAGGTTGGAACATCATGAGCTTCCTCATGTCTGGAGTGTTGCCCCCGGAAGGAGCCCTGCGTCCGTTCGGGCGCCCGCTGCAATCGGCCCCGCCTGCTGTGCCTCACCTTGAACAGCTGCCGCTGGGGGCGCCGAAACGAGTCGACGAGGCTTAAGAGTGGCCTTTCGCCGGAGTGATCTTTGGTGCAGGCCCACGTAAAGCAGTGGCGAAGCGTCCTGGCTTGCCCATCGGCTTAGCAAAGAATCTGCTAAGAACCATTTAATAGTTTGCACGGAATGGTGTTTAAGCGCATTTCAGGCTGAGACCGTTTTGTTTTAGCATGTCTGGTGTACGTTCTAAGAACATGGTTGTTGTTCTTAGAACATATTCGGGGTTCTACGAGCATCCCGTGGTGGGCCCACAGGAGTGCCAGATCGGTCTCTGCTCAACCACTTGAGCCCCCCGACCGTCGAGACGCGAGGTGGCAGTGGCGTCGTGCGCGCTAGTGTGCTCGGCCCCCCCGCGGCCCCCCCTGGAAAGCCGCGCACCAAAGGCCAGTCTCGTTCACGGGGTCACTCTTGCGCGCAGCCGCATGGGGAGCGGGCGCCTCTTGGACTTCGGGCTCCTCCACGGAGGAGCCAACCAGGCTTAAGTCGAGCATGCCCCTCTCCAGGAGGAATATCCAAGAATGGTGAAACATAGTCTGGGGGCGATTTTTCGACTACTCCTCCACTATCTTCGCTTTTTTTGCCTACGCTTGAGTTTCTTCCGAGCTCCGCCTGTAGGAGGACATGCCCGACTCAAAGCCAGACCTCGAGGGCTCGGGCTCTCGCCCCTCCCCGGCGGCTCCCCGGCCCGGGGCGTCGCGGCGAGGGGAGCGCCCTCGACCGGGGGCCAAAGGGGGCTCGGTGCTCCCGGGGGCCTCCCGTGGGGCCCCGGTCTCGGCGGCGGGGTCCCGCGTCCGGCTCTCGTCTGTTTTTGTCGTAGGCGTTCTCGGCGTCGTCGTCGTCCCCGTCGTCGTCGTCCCCGTCGTCGTCGTCGTCGCCGTCGACGTCTTCGTCGTCGTCGTCGCCGTTGTTTTCGCCGTCGTCGCCGCCGCCGCCGCCGTCGTCGTCGCCGTCGTCGGCGTTTGTTTTTGTCGTAGGCGTTCTTCGCGCAGGAAGTTCGCAGGACCACCACGGCCCTGGTTCTGCCAGCGGCACCTGGAGCACCCAGGGAGACGAACACCGACGCACCGATACTCGTAAGTTCCCTTCCTGGGAAGAGGAGGGGGGGGGTACGGAAGGGGAGGGGGGTGCAAGTGTAGAAGCGCGGGTCAGCTGGACGACATGCTTGCTCCCATGCTCGCCCGCAGGTAGAAGGTCGAACCCCTCTCTCGTGCACATATCCATGGTCGCGTCACGGACAGCACGTGCAAGAGAGCTAGCTTGCATGGCCGGATGAGCACACTGAAACCATTTTGTTCTTTGGGTGCAACAGTCGTTGTTAGCATTGTCTTTTGCTTGAACCTCATTGGTGTTATGTAGTGCTGGCTGGCATCAAAGGGTCGACATTCGGTCATGCATACTTCTTTCTTGACGCACGCCATAAGTCCAAAAGAAAGCAAGCCGAATACCCCGAGGTCCGCAGTTGTTTCAGGCGCCTCTCTGGTGTGTCAACGTCAGTGTTGGGTGCTCGTCGTTCTAAAGCGGGCCGCATGAGGAGCTGGGAGGGCGAACCACATTGCCAGATGCGTGCTTCTGCATCAGTCCTCGGGCTATGACAACGTCAGCACTAGCACCAGCATCACGCGAGTTAGTGGCAATGCGAGTTGCCTCGCACTTTCGCCATTTGCACACGTGTTTTGCATGAGGCTTGGGGGGTCTGGATGTCCTCGGGTCTGGGGGCGCTCGCCTCGCCAGGTCTTCCCGAGGCTTAGATATACATACATGTGCACATACATATATACACATACATACATCTTTGCGTATACATATCCGTATACACATACGTATACAAATTCATGTACACATGTATGCACCTAAAGTCATGCATGTACACTATATTTACATATGCATATACACATTTATAGACGTAAGCATGTACATACACATAGACTGGTACATTTACATAACATAAACATATACATACACACATACGTGTGCATCTATATCTATGTATATATATACACACTTGTACGTCTACATGTACATGCACATATACAGCTACATATGCATATGCATATACATCTATACAGAACTACATCGCTACATATCTACATCACTACATCTCTACACCCACCTCTACATCTACATATACATCGACAAACATACACACACATGTATGAACATGCACGTACATACAATCGGAACGTTTGCGGGCCTTGGGGCCGCGCATTGAAACCAGATGCTATAGTACCATACATGCGCCACCAGATTGCGCAGGCATTGAACTTCCTACTCGGATTTGAGCCCTCTCCCCTCAAGCTGATCACTCGGACCTGGCGCGCGCAAGAATTGACCCCACCACCAGATCAACCTGCGAGGGCGACGACCCGCGCGGCAGTCATGGCAGGCCTCGCTTTTCTCGCGGTCGCCTTCTCGTCAGTGGCCGTTGGGGCGGAGAGCGCTGGGCGTGGGCGCCGTGTGCTGAGCGAGGAGCCCCGGATCGAGCTCGCAGACTCCCTCCTGGTCGACTCCGATGTGGAGGCCCTGCGTGCCCTTGCAAAGTCCCTCGGGCTGGACAGCCACGGAAGGCAAAAAGACGCCACCCGCAGGCCAGCTCAGGTCCCGCGCTTGGGCCAGACTGCTGTGTACGCCGGCTTCCAGTCAGGCCCGGAGGCCACGTACACCACGGTGTGGTCCAAAGCAGACTCGAGCTGGCCCGCTGGTGGAGAACATTTGCTTGCTTCGCCTAGGACACCGCGCGGCAGGAGACGAACGCGACCAACGGCGGCGACGACTTCTGCGTGCTGGATCCGCGCATGGCTGCCGCGGGTGCGGAGCCAGGCTGGCAGGCGGTGTCGAGGCTCCAGGCGAGTGCTGCAAAGTGGGCCGGGCTCTCGGTCGGCAGCGCTACGCCAGTCGTCAGCCGTTGGGAGACGTGGTCCGCGGCCTCTGATTTGAATCGATCGGGCATCCTACACCTCGACGCACGGATGCGTCCCCAGAGCCGGCGCACGGTACTTGCTTATTTGAGCGGGACTGGCGATGCAGAGGACGGTTTGACAGTCTTCCCTTGCGTAGAGACTCCCGACATGGAGGCGAAGGAGGCAGCACGGCGCGAGAAGATGTGTTCGCGGGCTTTCCGGCACCTCAAGCTGGCGCACGAGAAATTGTTAAGCATCCACGGTGAAGGCTGGAGGGCTGAAAGTGTTGTATGACCCCGTCATGCTGCGATCGTTGTATGGTAGATCTCCTTGTTTTTTTACACTGTGAATATTATGAATGAATTGCTTTGAAGCACACGTGCCACGTGTTTAGCAAGCGCAGTGACGCTCGTCTCACCTCCCACGTTCTGAGGCTGTCAGAGGGCAGAAGTTAGGAATCTCCCCCCCTCTCTGCTGTCTTAGCTCCACCCTTCTCTCCCCCGATTTCTTGGTGGGGGGAAGCAAGGGCCCTTCGGAGCCAGAATCGGCATCGGGTTCTGCGGCGGGGTGGGGGGGGGAGCGGCGTTCTTCTAGGCCTCCTAGGTGGGGTCCGAGTAGATGGGGTCGGAGGATCGCGCCGCAGCATCGTCGATGCATCGGCGATGTGGCTCGATGTGGCCCCCCCTAGGAGGCCTTTCGTTCTGCCTCCGCGAGGCATGGCGCTGCCCCCTACGGAGCAGTATCAGTTCCTCTCGGCTCACCCGGAGCTCACCCAGCTGCCCAAGGCCCTGCCGGACGGCACCAGGCCAGTGAATTGGCAGTGGACCTCCGGGCCAACGATACTGGGGGATCGGCTTAAGTCGGCCGTGTCCCTCTACAGATGGAAAATTCAAAAATTGTCTAAAATAGTCGGGGGATGATTTTTCTACTATTTTTGACTATGTTTGATCATGTTTTGACTACGTTTCGTTTTTTTTCCGAACTTCGCCTTTAGAAGGACATGCCCGACCTAAGGATAGGCTCAGGGGGAGGATGCACTCGACCCACAATCGCTCAGTGGTCGCCGATATGGGTCTGATAGCCCCACCCCGCCAGGGAGCGTACGAAGCTGCTCTCGGGGGCCTAGCGCCGATTTATCGGCGATGTATCACCGGTTCCAGGTCGAAGTTCCCCCCCAAAGGATTGTTCCCCAAACAGCTTGCTGAACGGGGTGCTGTTGTGATAGAAGCTAATTCCGGCCGAGGGAAAGCTAAGCAGAGACATCCTCAAACAAATGTGGTGGTCCGGCCCGTTTCGCCTGAGACATCCTCACAACTCTCGTTTCTGAGTTGTCCGGGATTGAGCGTTTCCCCTGAGACATCCTCCTAAATCTGAGCTCTGAGAGGCCGCGCGAGAGGTGGTCCGGGCCGTTTCGCTTGAGACATCCTCGAAACTCTGAGCTCCCAGATGCCGCGCGAGAGGTGGTCCGGGCCGTTTCGCCTGAGACATCCTCGCAATTCTGAGCTCCAAGATGCCGCGCGCGAGGTGGTCCGGCCCGTTTCGCCTGAGACATCCTCGAAACTCTGATCTCCCCGATGCCGCGCGCGAGGTGGTCCGGCCCGTTTCGCCTGAGACATCCTCGAACTTCTGAGCTTTGAGATGCCCTGCGCGAGGTGGTCTGGCCCGTCTCGCCTGAGAAATCCTTGCAACTCTGAGATCTGAGACGCCGTGCGCAAGGTGGTCCGGCCTGTTTCGCACAAGACATTCTCGCAACTCTGAGCTCTCAGATGCTGCGCAAGAGGTGGTCCAGCCTGGGGGCCCAGAAGGCCACATGTTACATATCCTCCATGGGACCCTGCGAGCCTCAGGAGGCCCCAGAGAGGTCCAGGAGGCCGCAGGACGCCCAGGACAGGCCCCAGGGGCCCCCAGGAGATTCCCAGGAGGCCCCAGGAGGCCGCTTATCAGAACGTGTCAAGTCAATACACATCCGGTGTCGATTCGTTGATTTTTCCTGCTCTTGTGCGCCCCCCCTCCATTTGGAGAGGCCCAAGCGGCCACAGGTTAGATATCCCCCCTGGGAGCCCCAAGATGCTTCAGGAAACCTCAGGTCGAGTTCAGGAGGCCACAGGAGGCCCAGGAGGAAGCTCCAGAAGGTCCCCAGGAGGCCCAGGAGGCACCAGGAGGCCGCAGGACGCCCAGGACAGGCCCCAGGGGTCTCCAGGAGATTCCCAGGAGGCTCCCAGGAGGCCCCAGGAGGCCGCTTATCAGAACGTGTCAAGTTAATACACATCCGGTGTCGATTCGTTGATTTTTCCTGCTCTTGTGCCCCCCCCCCTCCATTTGGAGAGGCCCAAACGGCCACAGGTTAGATATCCCCCCTGGGAGCCCCAAGAGGCTTCAGGAAACCCCAGGTGGAGTTCACGAGGCCACAGGAGGCCCAGGAGGAAGCTCCAGGAGGTCCCCAGGAGGCCCCAGGAGGCACCAGGAGGCCCCCGCAACTCGGAGCTCTGAGACGCCGCGCTCGAGGTGGTCCGGCCCGTTTCGCCTGAGACTTCCTCGCAGCACGTTTCGCCCGAGACATCGTCGCAACTCTGGGGTCCGAGATGCCGCGCGCGAGGTGGTCCAGCCCGTTACGCTGGAGACATCCTCGCAACTCTAGGCTCCGAAATGCCGTTCGCGATGAAGAGGAGGTGGAGGGAGGAGGAGGAGGAGGAGGAGGAGGAGGAGGAGGAGGAGGAGGAGGAGGAGATGGAAGGGAGAAGGAGGAGGCGGATGATGTGCATGAGGGAGCAGGCAGGAGGAGGGGGAGGTCCCAGAGAGCTTCAGGAGGCCGCAGGACGCCCAGGACAGGCCCCAGGGGTCCGCAGGAGATTCCCAGGAGGCTCCCAGGAGGCCCCAGGAGGCCCTCTATCAGAACGTGTCAAGTTAATACACATCCGGTGCCGATTCGTTGATTTTTCCTGCTCCTGTGGCCCCCCCTCTATCTGGAGAGGCCCAAACAGCCACAAGTTAGATATCCCCCCTGGGAGCCCCAAGAGGCTTCAGGAAGCCTCAGGTGGAGTTCAGGAGGCCACAGGAGGCCCGGGAGGAAGCCCCAGGAGGTTCCCAGGAGGCCCCAGGAGGCACCAGGAGGCCCCCGCAACTCGGAGCTCTGAGACGCCGCGCTCGAGGTGGTCCGGCCCGTTTCGCCTGAGACTTCCTCGCAGCACGTTTCGCCCGAGACATCGTCGCAACTCTGGGGTCCGAAATGCCGCGCGCGAGGTGGTCCAGCCCGTTACGCTGGAGACATCCTCGCAACTCTGGGTTCCGAGATGCCTTTCGGGATGAAGAGGAGGTGGACGAGGAGGAGGAGGAGGAGGAGGCATGTTTTAACATGCCATGCCAGCCCGCACTAGGCGGGCACGCAATCGACCTTGGAAACCGCAGTGGGTCTAAAAACCCTGTTTGGGGATACTGCACTCTGGCTATAATTTTTTCTCAGGATCAAAGCTAGAAGTACGGTGGTTGCGATGCACGCCGCGCGAGGCGGCTCACGGGCAAAAATGCTTACGGTTCGGGTGCACGTTGCGTTGATGCTTCCCGTCACCATGCGCTGTTAACTACGACTCTGGTTGCTACATGCCTGCCCTGCTTCGCAGACCTGGCGTGCCACCCGCAGGCGCGCCAGTGCTAGAAGACTGGTTTCTGAATTCAAGAAATTGGTTATTGAATTCGAAAAGCTGGTTTTTGAACTCTATTCAAAAGTGTCTCCTGAAAATGGGCAGGAAAGAAAGACGGCGACCCGAAACGGCAAAAAACGGCTCTGGGATTGGAACCAGAGCCCGAACCGGTAAAACAACGGCGACGGACCCGGCAAACAAAAACGGCGTCAGCACCGGCAACGAGAATTGCAAATCGGAGCCGGTACAAAAACGGCCTTGTCGTTTCCAGGACGGGCGAAGAGAACTATGCACATGCACCAGTCCTGGCCAGGCCCATCCTTGGCCCCAGGATCGGTGCATATGCCTTCCTGGCCAAGGCAGGAGGGCGTATGCACCGATCTTGGGCTCAGGACGGACCTGGTCAAAATCGGTGTAAGTCGGAAGCTGGGCGAGGGCTGGTAAAACCGTGGCTTCTAAAACGGCCCTCCCGGAAGGAAAAAACAACTTCCCGGAGTGAGGCGCGGCACGCGAAACCATCAACGGGCTTCTTCACGGAAGGACGAAGACAACTTCCCGGAGGTCGATTTTAGCAGCCACGGATTTCGCAGCCCTTGCCCAGCTTCCGAGTCAGTGCCCGCTGATCTGCACGCCCGAAGTGGGCACGGAAAGAATGGGTACAATGCCCAACAGCAGTTCCTGTTCATTCTGGACAGGGCTCGCTGTCGGTGTCGCCGCGGCCTGTGTCCATTCGAGACAGAAGGCCGCCTGCCCAACAGCGGCCGCTGCTGGTTTGGGACAACACTTGTTGTTGGGCATTGTGCCCATTCTTTCCGTGCCCACTTCGGGCGTCCAGAGCCGAGTGCCGGTCCGCCCCTGCCGCTGCCCCGCTCGGGGGCCACATGCGAACCCTACCCCTACCCCCCCACGATTTCTATGGGGGAGGGTGGGGTTCGCTTCGCTCGGGAGCTCCCGAGCGAAGTGACCCCCCCCTCCCCCTCAGAAATCGTGGGGGGGTAGGGGTAGGGTTCGCATGTGGCCCCCTACCCGCAGGACCGCGGCCCACGACGCCGTGGCGGAGCAGCCGGGCGCCCTCCGGGCAGAGCCGCTCTGGCGGCTGGCGGAGGCGATGTGCCGCGGGCAGGCGGGGGGCCTCCGCGTGGCGCCCAGGGCCGGGGCCGCCCTGCTCCTCGAGGTGCTGGGCCTCCCAAGGGGGGGCACCTCCTCCTCCTCCTCCTCCTCCTCCCCCTCCTCCTCCTCCTCCTCCTCCTCCTCCTCCTCCTCCTCCTCAAGTGCGGCGCAGGCCCCGCAGCAATCTCCGTAATGGGTTTTAGCTCGGCGCCCTAGCCCCGTTCCCGCCTCACCGTGGCACGTGGGTGGCACCGGAACGACCTCATCTTTTTCGAGACGTTCAGCCGGTGGCGAAGTGGGACGAAAGTCAGTCATGCTCGGCAATGTTGTTAAAGTCCTGGCGCCATCATCTACAGTATCGGCATCTCCCGTTTGCGTTTGGGGAGGGTATGTATTATTGTCTGGCGGCTTGGGGCTTACGATGTTCTTTGCATTATGTTTCAATTTCGTGGGTTGTTGTCAACAGCGTGGTGGAGGAACATGAGGCTGTTCACAAGTTTGTGGAGGTCATACGCGACACAGGCTTCGGAGGTTTTCGGGGCTATCAAGTCTGTGTTTTCGGCCATCCTGCTTGTGGCCTTAAGGCCAATAAGGTGAACACCAGTGGGGAGGAGGAACAGGAGACATTTCACAAGTTTTGGTGAGTATACGCTGCGCTGGCTTCGAAGGTATTCGCGGCCATTCTGTGTTCTCGTTTATACAGCTTGTGGTCAATAAGTGTGAACACCTCACAACAACGTTTTTTATTGACACGGCCAACGGAGTGGCAGAATGCATCAATCCAATTTCTTCCTTCCCTTCAACCTCGTTGTGGTATTGCACTTCTGGATAACAGGGGATCGGGACCGTTTGCAGCTCGACCGTGCCCAGGCAACGCTGTTTGGAACCACATCTTTGAGTTGTTTTAGGGTCGGGGCAGAAGGGTCATAATGATAAGATGGCTACGCCATCGCATCACTCACTCCTCCTCCTCCTCCTCCTCCTCCCTCTTCCTCCTCCTCTTCCTCCTCCTCCTCCTCCTCCTCCTCCTCGTCCTGTTCCTGGTCCTCCTGTCCCTGCTCCTCCTGTTCCTGCTCCTGTTCCTCATCCTCCTCCTCCTCTTCCTCCTCCTCTTCCTCAAGGTTCCAGGTTCCCCAAAAGGGGACGATTGATCTTTGCACGGCAAGAATGGGCACAAAGACCGACGGCAGTCCATATTCATCTTGAAGAGGGCTCGCTGTCCGCGCCGCCGCGGACGTTGCCCACTGAAGACTAGAAGCCGCTCGCCCTACGGCGGCCGCTGCCGGTTTTGAGCAACGTTGGCTGCTGCGCACGGTGCCCATTGTCTTCGTACCCATTTCGGGCGTCCAAACCCGATGGGGTTCGAGTGGATTGGGTCGGAGGATCGCGCCGCACCGCCGATGCATCGGCGATGCAGCTGGAGCTGCAGTCCGATTTCCTTCACTGAGAACAAAAGAACCCTTAACCCTAATAACACGATGACGACGTGGCCTCACCTAGGTTCCCGTCTTCGCAGTAGGAAATAAGTCTGGGCGGTTTGGTATGATACATTTGCAGAAAAGACCCGATACCTAATGTTTCTGGCCCATATAACCTAGGTCCCCTCGAAAAAAGGGTTA